TTGTGGACCGATAACGTTCCAACCAAGAAAACACAACACATTTTTTTTTAACGATATAATCAAGATTTAATAAAAAGAAAGATTTGAAATAAGCATAGCAGAAACTTGTGCACGTGGTTCTGACCCATAGCGGTATTACCATCGTGTATTAGTGGAGCGACGATTGGATACATCTATGGAATATAACATACAAAGAGACATTATTAAAATTAGAGGAATAACCTGGCGGTGGTGAAAACAGGTCAACCTACCCAAAACCCAAAAAACCCTACTGAAAAGGAAAAAATTAATTTTAAACCAAAAATTCAATACACAAACTTGAATTGTTTCAACCATAACCGAACATTTGTTTGTGTATATATTCATTTGTCGGTGCTGTCAATTAAAATTTCCTCACTTAATTAGGAAACAAACCAAACAGAGTTGATCACAAATTGATCCAGATTCCTATCAGCATAACTACGATGTTGAACTTGCTTAACTTTTCTTTATCCAAATATGTAATGTAAAATAAAAGAAATCTCGATCGACGATCACTGAAACGCAGCTAGCAACTGTATACTCGAAAAACCAATGTTGCCACTTTTTCTCTTTAAACCATGTTCGAATCGTGGAAATTTTGGAAGATCACAGGGTTGCTTTTAGCATTTAGATTCTTAATGCAAAACTCCATTTTTGCATTTACTTACATTTAGGTGACGAATTTTGTATGGAAACCAGAAATCGACGAAAATGGACATAAAAGTTTAAAAATTCCATGGAATTATTTAATTTATTTATATTAAAATTCTGTATTACTTTTGAAAGTTGAGTGCATCTTATGTTTATGGAACTTTTTATTAAACAAGTAATTTTTAATCTAAAAGCAAAACCGACTTCAATTCTCATATACAAATTTACGAGTACCGTTAATTTCTCCTTGATTTAATGATCGAATCTAAACCAAATTACGGGACGACCCTTAAGGTACCATCTTTCCGTAAAAAAAAAGAATTATTGGAATCGGTTCACGCGGTCCAAAGTTATGCGGTGGCATACATAAAAGAAGAAAAAATACTCCGAAGAATTGATAACCTCCTCTTTTTTGAAGCCGGTTGAAAATGATTGAGTTCTTTGTAAATTTTATGTAAATAAAATGCAATTTAAGAAATTTTAAAGAGTTTATTTATTTATTACATACTGTACATAAAACTTGCATAAATGTATTTTAAGGAGCGTATTATCTGAAGTGAATTTTTTCTGAATTTTCTGATGATATATATTTAAAAGTATAAACCCCTCCCTGCCCCCCCCAAAATATATTCCTGGGTGCGCCCCTGGCACTTAGTATTTACTATTTATAAAAATTATGTTTTTACTTTCAAAATGTTTGTAATTTTAAACATTTCATGTGTATATTTATGTGTATAATTTAAACAACTAATGTTCAAAATTAAATCTTGAAAATCTTGTGCGTATACTTGAACAGATTCTGGTTGAAAAATAAACACTTTTCAGTAGTAGTTTTACATGCAGTTTTTATAGTGTATTTCATAAAGGACACCGGAAGTGATTTTGGAACTTAACCGGGAAAACCGGGACACTTAAAAGAAACCCGGGACATTTTAAGGTTGGACCGGGACAAACAGTCTAAAACCGGGATATATCCGGGAAACCGGAACGTCTGGCAGCCCTAATTCAGCCTAAATATTAAGATTTTTTGCAAAGCAATATGGGTGAGAAAATGAAGGACAAGGTTCATTGTGTGTCGTCATCGTAAAACAAAGGTCGAGCTGTTTCCTATTAGAATTCTTGTTAGTATGTACTTGGATGTAAAATAGCCTCTCTTTTCGGTTTCACTTTAGTCCACTCCATATTTAAGTTGGCTGTGGTAACGTTGGAGCATAAGGACTGGTTATCGCCTTTTGGCTCCTGGGCTGCATTGTCAGCAGTTGCTGGTTGATCACTTCTACGAGTTTGGCGATCTATTTTCTCTGCTTGTGCTCGAGGTGAGGTGACACGAATGCGTTTTCCTTTCGGTTGTGGGTGGTTCTCGGGTGTGGGTTAGTTCCCTGTTTTATCACCTTTGACTGGTCCGTCTGTTTGATTCGATTTCACTGAAGAACTAACCGAGGTTCTTTCTGGATCACTACTCTCAACGATTTCGAAGAGTTTCGAGATGCTGGTTAGGACGTTATTCATTTGCTGGTTCACGTGCCTCTGGCTGTCCGTCATCTTCCTCAGTTCCCCGATCATACGGCGCCCGTTGTACTTTTCAGCAGAGTTCTCGATTGATTGGATTCTCTGAGAGTCAGCTGCATTTCCGCTATCTATGCGTGCTGCTGGTGACCCTGCAGAATCCACCACGTAATAGGAACTCACGATATCTGTATTGTCACTGGCTGGTCGCGTGGCCAGTAACGTGTTACGTACGGGAGATCGTGGGGTCATTCCGCTCCGCTGGAAGGGGCTACTAGCCCCGGACGGGGGTTGGATCGCGGGGCCTTGGTTTTGCTTCCGTTTATCCATTTTTAATTTTTATCACTTCCTCACCACGGGGTGAGTAAGTGACAGTGCACTTAGCACCACTTTTGTACTATTTTTTTTACAGGGAATTATATTTTATTTTTAATTGGTTATATTAAGTTTAATTTATTTATCAGATCATTGGCTATAG